ACCTAAGCCAATGAGCCTTTTTCATGGAAAGTCCCAGAGGTAACTCTGCAGGTTTAGAATACCATAGACATAAGTGACATTTTTTAAATGGCACAGATGTGTTTCCGCATGATCCCCAAAAGAATTCACTCCCACAAATAGGCTAAGATAGCAGAAGACTCTTGTTGCCATAGACAGTGATGGTGTTTGTTCATGGTGTCTCCAGTATCACACAAATTTGTGGGGGGCACTAGTCACAGACCCGTTTCTCCATGACACCAGGAGGCCTACCTGGACCACCTGGAATTGGACTTACAATTCTTTTTTTTTTTTTTTTTTTTTTTTTTTTGAGATGGGGTCTCACTCTGTCATCAGGGCTGGAGTGCAATGGCATAATCTTGGCTCACTGCAACCTCTGCCTCCCAGACTCATACAATCTTCCCATCTTAGCTGGTACCACAGGTGTACACCACACCCAGCTTAATTTTATTTTTTTGTGTGTGTGTGTGTGTTTTTTGGTGGAGACGGGGTTTCACCATATTGACCATGCTGGTCTCGAACTGCTGAACTCAAACAATCTGCCTGCCTTGCCCTCCCAAAGTGCTGGGATTACAGGGGTGAGCCACTGCACCCGGCCTGGACTCGTAATTCTTTATAGTTTCTTTACTTTCTGGAAAAATGTTAACATCTTTAATCTGTTTGAAAGGTTTTGCTAACTGTAATGGCAAATCCTTCTACCTCTTCTTTTTCAAAATTTCTTGAATTTTCTCACATTTGCTCTTTCAAATATACGTTCAAGCTGAGTCTAAAGCTCCCTAAAGTTCAAGGATGCAGTGAGCTATGATTGGGCCACTGCACTCCAGCCTGAGCTCAGAATGAGATCTTGTCTCTAAAAAAATAAAAAACAAAGCTCTATAAATATTCTTGGAATTTTTGTTGGAATTGCCTTAGAACTGTGTGGATTGTTTCAGGGGAAACTGATATTTTTACTGTTGACTATTCCCATCCAGAAATGGGTATTTCTATCCATGTATTTAGGACTTCTTTATGTCTATTAGTTTCTCTGTTGGTGTACTTCCTAGGTATTTTATAATTTGTATTAGTATTATAAATAGAATCTTTTATCCTATTAAAGATCTTATTGCTGATATAATCAGCCACTTTGCCGAAGTCTTCTTATTAGTTCTAGTATTTTTTTCGGTTGACTGTCTCAGATTTTCTAGATGGCAGTTATATCATCTGCAGCTTTAGACCTGTGTTGTAAATGGGCCCAAAATAATGCTGCTTTTTTATTCTAAGAAAAACAATTCAGTGGAGTCATGAAGTGAAAAGTATAGTAAAAAAATTACTCTTTAAGGCCAGGCGCGGTGGCTCACACCTGTAATCCCAACACTTTGGGAAGTTGAGGTAGGAGGATCACAAGGTCAGGAGTTCGAAACCAGCCTGGCCAACATGGTGAAACCCCATCTCTACTAAAGATACAAAAAGTCAGCTGGGCATGGTGGCACATGCCTGTAATCCCAGGTACTTGGGAGGCTGGGGCCGGAGAATTGCTTGAACCCGGGAGGCGGAGGTTGCAGTGAACCGAGATCATGCCATTGCTCTCCAGCCTGGGCGATAGGGTGAGACTCCATCTCAAAAAAAAAAAAAACCCTTTAAATTTGCTTGAATACTTGAGTTATTATAAAATAATAAGCATAAATATACAGAATAATAGTAATAGTGTATATGCAAAATTGTAATTTTATAGTATTTTGAACTTAAAGCATCAAGATGGTAGCATAAATTAATTTCTAAAAAGATAACCTGAACACTTATTTTTCATCATGGTTATTTTTGCTACTCTATTATGACTATAATAGAAATGCAGCAATGAAAAAGAATGAGGATAATGATGTAGCACCTGCTTAATGAATAAGACCAGTCAGATGAGTAAAATACATAATTTCAATAATTTGTGTTACCTTTCCCCTGAAAAGGCTATCAGGAAGTTGTTAGAGTTTGATGCCTCCCCAGTAGTCAGCCTTGGTAATTGAGAAAGTAATTTGCTTGTGTTTGACTCAAAAGGTTTGTGTAGGCTCAGCTACTGGTTATTTTTCTGTCTTACTGTCTTTTGAACAGCTCAAATATTTCTTAAAAGGGTCTCAAATCTCCTATGTGTGATTTTGTAGTTTTATTCTACTAACTACATATTCAGAAATTAAATCATTTTTTTAACAGTACATTGAAGATTTTCTATTACTGCCTTTTCCTCTTACTCTTTCTGCTCTTCCCATTTTCTGCATTCTTTGTCAGTGTTTTGTTAAGGCTCATAATTAATTCTTAAATTTCTTCTTTGAAGCTGTGAACAAAACCATCCCTACTATCTTGGCCTGGCTACCTGTACAGTGTTTTTCACTTTTTTGACAAAGAACAGGAAACCTTTTAAATCATTCACACATTCTTTTCATTCATGTCCTTAATGCTTTGATTATTTAGTTTAATTGCATCAATGACTATTTAATGTGAGTGAAACATTCTTGGCAATGTTGAAGAACTTCTCACTCTGACTGCGTCATATTTAATATCAGGCTTACCATCCATACATGGATGTGTTGATGAAACGCTAAGCCTCATGCAGGTGGTCTTGAAACATCAAATCGCACTTCATTTCAAAGGTTGGTGGATGGAAGTGGTATGGGAGGCAGAAAACAACTTCAGCATAGTTACTTGCAAACTGGAGTGTTTCAGTGTCCAGGAATAAGTGATCATGCAACACCTTTAAAACATCCCTTTTTGGCCGGGCGCGGTGGCTCACGCCTGTAATCCCAGCACTTTAGGAGGCTGAGGCAGGTGGATCACCTGAGGTCAGGAGTTCAAGACCGGCCTGGCCAACATGGTAAAAATGTTGTCTCTACAAAAATACAGAAAAAAAAAAAAATTAGCCGGGCATGATGGCGGATTCCTGTAATCCCAGCTACTCGGGAGGCTAAGGCAGGAGAATAGCTTGAATCCAGGAGGCAGAGGTTGTAGTGAGCTGTGATCGCGCTGTTGCACTACAGCCTGGGCGACAGAGAGAGACTCCATCTCAAAAAAAAAAAAAAAAATCCCTTTTTTGGTTGGGCACGGTGGCTCATGCATATAATCCCAGCACTTTGGGAGGCTGAGGCAGGTGGATCATGAGGTCAGGAGTTCCAGACCAGCCTGGCCAATATGGTGAAACCCCATCTCTAATAAAAATATAAAAAATTAGCTGGGCGCGGTGGCATGTGCGTATTGTCCCAGTTACCCAGGAGTCTGAGGCAAGATGGCAGGATAATCACTTGAACCTGGGAGGCAGAGGTTGCAGTGAGCCGAGATGGCGCCACTGCACTCCAGCCTGGATGACAGAGCCAGACTCTTTCTCAAAAATAAATAAATAAATAAATTCCCTTTTTTGAAGTTCTCACTGACCTCTGGATTGAAATATGCGTAAAAGTAATCCAGAAATCATGCTGCCACTGAACAACCCCCCCCACCTCGTGTGTGTGTGTGTGTGTGTGTGTGTGTGTGTACAACACAGGCAGGATAGTTTCCTTCCTGCCTTTCGGGTCACAGGGATTTGTAACCCTTATAGTAGAGCTTGGCAAAACTTCTGTTGTAAAGCATAAATATACAGAATAATAGTAATAAAGAGTTTATGTTGTAACGGACCAAAAGGAGGAATGGGGAATAAGTGCTTAATGGGTATAGTGTTTCTTTCTGGGGTAAAAAGTTATTTTGGAATAAATAGAGGTGGTGGTTGTACAACTCTAAGAATTTTCTGGCCGGGCTCGGTGGCTCATGCCTGTAATCCCAGCACTTTGGGAGGCCGAGGCAGGCGGATCACGAGGTCAGGAAATCGAGACCATCCTGACCAACACAGTGAAACCCCTTCTCTACTAAAACTACAAAAAAATTAGCCAGGCGTGGTGGCGGGCGCCTGTAGTCCCAGCTACTCAGGAGGCTGAGGCAGGAGAATGCCGTGAACCCGGGAGGTGGAGCTTGCAGTGAGCTGAGATCGTGCCACTACACTTCCGCCTGGGCGATAGAGCGAGACTCCATCTCAAAAACAAAAACAAAAAAAGAATTTCTGAAATGCCTCTGAATTGTTCAGTTTAAAATGGTTACTTTTATGGTATATGAGCTTGAAAAAGAAAAAAAAAATCCTTATGTAAATGGTTTTGGTGCCCCCTCACACTGATCATGGATTTCTCCACAAATAGAAATTCCATTTAAAAAAACTTAACAGCATAATCATTGCAATGATTTGTAATGTTTAAAGAAATAAATAGGCATTTCAAATTCTGATTTTTGGTGAGGTAATTGGTAAGCAGAAGAATCTATCGTCACTAAATATTTTATATTTAATGTATAGTTTTCTCTTTAAAAAGTCCATGTTTATGATGGATGCAATTATTTTATACATTATTTCATATAAAGTAATTATACACAATTTATGTTTTCTAGCCAATTTATATTATTTATTTATATTAAATAACAGGTTTGCTAAGACAAAAAATTCTAGTATATTAAATTTAAACATTAAACATAGTACATTGAAATTCTAGGTCTAGATTAAGAATCAGGATAGTTTTTCTTCCTCTGTGTGTCTCCACTTTCCTATTATTTACTTTTCTACCTTCAAGCTAAACTCTCACTCACTAAAATGAAACTCACTTTGCTATTTACTATGTTACCTCGTTTCTTAACCTCTTAATTTGTTTCTCTCACAAGTGGGAGATGCATATCTTGCCACACTTGTGTGTCTAGAAAGAGGTTAAATGTTTTTTGCAGTGTCTGATACATAGTAGGTGGTACATAAAGAGTAGCAGTGATTATTTCCCAAGAACATAAGAGTGTTATCAGAAAAAGTTAAGTTTTCACCTTCGCCTATTGTTACCTTTTTAAAACAGTTGCAGCCTATGGAAACATGAATGTGTTTTGAAAACTGATACCCAGTGCACATGGAGGCCTATAATATGATTCTCAACAGTGGTTTATTTGGTTTGTTTTTTTCAGGTGAAAGAAAAGATGTTGTCCCGGTTAAGAGTAGTTTCTACCACTTGTACTTTGGCATGTCGACGTTTGCACATAAAAGAAAAAGGCAAGCCACTTATGCTGAACCCGAGAACCAACAAGGTGGTAACATTAATACCAATGTACATTTTCTCTCTTCCTGTTAAAGGTTTGATATATTTAAGACTGATAAGGTGTGACATATTTTTGTAGCTTTATGCTAAGGCTGTTCAGAGATAGTTGTTTACATGAACTTTTTACGCTTCTCTACATGGCAAAATCGTGGTTGCTTTATACCCCCTAAATTTCATCCTCATGACTTTTACCACCAGAAAAGGATTGACTTTGATTCCTAGTTCTAGCTTTAAAAAATAAAAAATAAAAACTTGGAATAGTGCTTTGGCCAGGACGTTGGGCCACATGTGAGATATTTACATTTCCCCAGCTCACATCAGGTACTCACCCTGAGCTAATCAGTTAGGTCCTTGGAAGGTAGGGTCAAAATTGTGAAATGAACCTTTATGTAAAGTCCACATCACCCCACCTCCACCTGTCTTTTTGGACACAAACCATCGCACACAAAAAATTTTCCCCATTAGTTAGAATGATTAGATGACTGCTTCAAAAGAGAGAGACTCTTGACTCTTTATTATACTCTTGGGACAAAAGTGATGTGCAGTATTGAGATCCAGTCATGACTTCGTCCTTCATCTATGTTTAGTTCAGTGGACAAGTGCCTGTGTGTTTTTTAGTGGCAGTATTAAATGGTAAGTAAAAGTTCTGGGAAGAGATTTTTTTACAAGAAGCTTGCAAGAGGATACATTGCAATATATGAAATTTACCTTTTGGGGAAAGGTAAATTCAAATGAAAGGTGTGACTTATTTTAAAAGAGCAGTCATAAAAAACTTGTCAGTCCCATTTGTTTCCCACTATCAGGGAAAATAGTTTATTGTTATCATATGATAAGTAATGAGGGGTTTCAGGCCTACAAAGGGGAATTTGACCATGGGTAACACAGAGCACCTCACCTTTGTATTCTTGTGTGTGACACAGAATGAGTTCTGCAAGCAGTTAGTGCGTTAAATGAAGCTTAATGAAGAATATTCTAATCCTCTCTTCTTTGTGCTTGACCTCTCCACATCACATTTGCTCTTTAAGATGCACCTCATTTCAAATCCAGTTCTCCTGTAGAACCTTTTTACACCACCATGGAGGAGTAATTACTCCCTTCTCTGAAACCCCACAGCAGTTTCTTTCTGTACCTGTGGCAAGTAATCAATATGTGTTGCTTTGTGTTTCTTTTCATGGTTTTAAGCTGTTATTGAAGTAATTTATGGTAGTTACATTTTCATGAATTTGTATCTTCTTGACTATATTTCTGGTTCCTTTTGGGCAGTGACCATTCAAATACTTCTGTGTATCTTTTACAGTGCTATGGGTGCATTTGATAAATATATTGGTTTTATTTTATCTTTTATCCTTATGGAAATAATTTATTTAAAACCTACTCTGGGGATTTAGAGATTATAAGAAATTTATAAAGTACGTTGAGTGGCAAACAAGTTTGCAGATGGAGCATAGTCTAAGTGCATTACCATACTTCTCTAAAGAAAATAACGTCAGCCAGGCTCAGTGTCTCATGCCTGTAATCCCAGCACTTTGGGAGGCCGGGGCGGGTGGATCACCTGAGGTTGGAAGTTCGAGACCAGCCTGACCAACATGGAGAAACCCTGTCTCTACTGAAAATACAAAATTAGTTGGACGTGGTGGTGCATGCCTGTAATCCCAGCTACTCGGGAGGCTGAGGCAGAATTGTTTGAACCCGGAAGTGGAGGGTGCGGTGAACCTAGGTTGTGCCATTGCACATCAACCTGGGCAAGAAGAGTGAAACTCTGTCTCAAAAAAAAAAAAAAAAGAAAAATAAAAAAGAAGATAATGTCTAACATCTGGCCTTCTGAAATCTCTAAGATTGACTAGCATCTGTATGGTCACTTCATTGAAGGACCACTTCTGGAAACCCCTTAAACATCAGGAAGAGTTTAATTTTTGTTTGAAGAACATAGACCAGTGATTCCCAAGTCATAGGTTATAGACTCCTCAGGAACTTACCATGTAAAGAAATCAAGTTTGCACTTCAAACATTGTAGACTTAATAACTTTTCACATTTTTGTAAATATTATTTTAAGGATATGTTGCTGCTATAATTAATAAAATAGTAATTAAAGGCAGTATTGAATTCTGAATCTTTTTAAATGTATGTCTGTAATCACTGTATACTCAAGGTATACCTGCTCTTTGTTTATAAAACTTTTTTATTGTGGTAAAGGAAGCATATTATAAAATTGACAATTTTAACCATTTAAAAGTATACAATTCAGTGACATTAAATTCATTTAGTGTTGTGCAACCATCATCACTATCTAGTTCCAGAACTTTTTTATTATCCCAAGTAGAAACCTGGTATTATTTCATTTTATTTATTTATTTATTT